ATGATTTATTTTTTCTCTTATTCCTCTTATCCTGTAAACAAACGTTGAAATTTTCTGGAAAAAAGATTTTCCCACCTACCTACCGACCCATTAATTTTACCCTCAGTCGGGAGAGGGCAAGCAAATGTTATTTTAAAGATGGCCTAATGTTGATAGGTTATCAGCTGTCAACATGAGTTGAATATAAATTGACGTTAAAAATTTGTTTTTTGTAGAATGCTTGGCTAAGAAGAGAAAGAAAGCCATGCTTGCTTGTTTTAAAGAGGATTTACATTGGGCTAAAGGTAATAAATGTGTGTGTTGGTGTATGTATATTTTTATGGTTTTGAGTTCTGGAGCTCGAATATCATATAGCAGGCGTCCAATCAAAGTCACTACCAGAATTTATATGACCGAATGTGTCAGTTGATGCATCCGTAAAAGAAAATAACAGTACTGTAACATCAATTTTTGTGAAAATCTTCACAATGAATAATAGCTTGAAAATAAAATTGCATCAATTATATCTACAGTTAATTCTGTCAAAGAACAAAGATAATTTGTGTTTATTTTCACTTAAGAAAAAGGTGAGAGTTTTTGCAGATGAATTTCTATGGAAAGGGTGCGTCGAATGACATGAATAACATTTCGGAAGAATAACCATGTAACACAAACAACCCAATAGGCAGTAAAATAATCATAATTTTACATAAAAATTAGCTGCAATAATGTTGCCCTCTCCCTTTTTTTAGGTCACCTGAGTAAACTCGGGGGGGGGGGGGGGGGGGGGGGGGGCTCTATTGATTATATAGTGAAATTACATGAATTCTTTGAAAATCTTCTTCTCTGCTCCTAGGTATTAAATAAAATAACTAAGTACATAGTGATGATAAGCAAGTGTTCCTCAACTAAGATTGTGAATTTTATGGCCCCAGGGTCAAGGGTTCGGGGGGGGGGGGGGGGCTCTATTGATTATATAGTGAAAATATGTGAATTCCTTGAAAATCTTCTTGTCTGCTCCTAGGTATTATATAAACTAACTAAGTGCATAGTTATGATGAGCAAGTGTGCCTCAACCAAAATTGTGAATTTAATGGCCCTATCATCAAGGGTTCTGGTGTTGGGGGGGGGGGGGGGCTCTATTGATTATATAGTGAAAATATGTGAATTCCTTGAAAATCTTCTTGTCTGCTCCTAGGTATTATATAAACCAACTAAATGCATAGTTATGATGAGCAAGAGTGCCTCTACAAAAATTGTGAATTTTATGGCCCCAGGGTCAGGGGTTCTGGTGTTAGGGTGGGGCTCTATTGATTATATAGTGAAAATACATAAAATCTTTGAAAATTTTCTTCTCTGTCTCTGGGTATGAAGCAGATGAACTACCTATATAGTTATGATGAGCAAGGGCCCTAATCTTGCAGAATTGAGAATTTCAAGGCACCAGGGTCAGGGGGGGGGCTCTACTTATATACTGGAAATGAATTAATTGTTTGAAATCTGGTCCTTTGTATTTATAAAACATTTATTTACTTTTTGATAGGCAATTTTAAGGGTGCCTTTTAAAAATTTGTGCAACCTAGGGTCAGGGGTTTATGTCAGAGTGTTAGGGGCACTACTGCTTATTGATGAATATTACTGATTAGTTGGAGTGCATTTTTGTTCCCCTACCCTGCATATGGGTATTCAGTAACCAAGCTAAGCGACTGCTAAGTTTATTGTTATGATGATCAATGGTGCTCTTTCAAAATTGTGAATTCCATATAGCATCTGGCTTAAAACGTTATTGAATCAAATTCAATACACTGTAACTGGAAAGTTGTTGCATAATGCTCAGGTGACCTATAAGGCCCATGGGCCTCTTGTTTTTTTTTTTGGAGAGGGCTATAACTCCTTAGGATCTCCATGATGGTGCAAGTGCGACAGAGATTCACTCCAACACCAGAGTTGTGGAAAACTTTTTCAGATAGCCAGTCATTCGGACCGGCAAGAAAACAAAATAAGCCGGTCCGAAGTGATTTTTGTCGGTCCGAAATAGAAAGTTGCAAATGGAAAAAAAAAACATAACATTTATTCATTTTATATCACATCTATTTTAAATAAATTGTGTTGTTAATAAAACAAAATTCAGTCTCCATTTCCAAGTACCACTACTCATCCATTTTCTTTTAATTTTGCATTCATAACAATACTAGATCGATACAATAATACCATCTTTTTTGGCAGGTGACCATGCTAATTCAGCACAGTCAAAGCAATTTTTAAAAACATTTATACATTTTGGAATTATATTAACCTAGAATTCTTTGTATCGATAATCTGATAATAAATATATCATCACGAAAGGAGAAAAAACAAAAATTCCGGGACAGTCGGAAATCCTAGGTTAAGTGCCTTTTCCACCTGTGCTTGAATAATTTCTGTTGAAATTTATCATATTTAGCTCATCTTTATCTGAAGTTTTTCTTTCATATGTTTAATATGTTTTCTACCTAACTTGGCCCCAGTTGTGCATTTAAAAAAGGTTACGAGAACAATACTAGTTTCGTTTTCATTTACAGCCTCGATCTCGTTTAAAAAAAAGGTATTACGTAATCGCATATAAGATACGATAAATTGTGATTGGAAATGTACAAAACAAAACAAAAAACTTTTAACCAAAAACGGGGCCGGTCATTTGGACCGACATTGATAGCATTTTTACCGGTCATGCGAATTTTAAGCCGGTTTTGCCGGCATGACCGACAGTTTTCCACAACTCGGCAACACGGATTTCGGCTTAAATTATCAGTAAATGGCTATTTAATTAACATTTCTTACCTGAACTCCCAAAACTGTAGTTATCCAAGACATAAATCAATCCAAACATACACAGAACAATCCATATATCGGTTATTTTTCGTGTATGTCAACATCACAACTTGAATTTATCCCCCCATATTTACTGACCTTGATCGATTTTATTTTGGGACAGCCAATGAGACTAGGGAGTGGATCTCTGAAGGAATTACCTTATTTTAGGCATGAATATCGCTGTTTACAAAAAAAAATGTCACATGGAATAGTTTTATTTATCAATACTTAGTGATGCCATAGAGCACAATCATTTAGTAACCCCGAAAATCTACTTTACAAAGTAAATTATAATTTTCAAGCGCAAGTCTCAGTGCATCACACGAGAACTGTCGTGGCTTCTGATGAGAGCAACTGGTAAACAAGCAGATTTATTTTATCTGGTTTTTGCGTTCAACGGGCTATGTTGTTGACAGTGAATAAAAATTTTGCCTTTTTAGAAGTAAGTTGAATGTAAAAACAATTTATTTTGCCTGCGGTCTCCTGATTTAAAAATATATTTGCACCATTACAGAGATGCTGTGGAATTGTAGCCCTCTACAGAAAATATCAGATAAAAAAAATCATAGAGGGCTACATTATTGCAGCTACATAAAAATGAATACTGGAAGACATGTTTGTCACACTTTTGCAAATGGTCTATGTATAATAACTATTACTCCTTTCCAGAATGCCAGAGAGAGCTGGATGAGGGGCTTGAGACATGCCATGAAAACATATGTGCACAGTCTGATGAAGATAAAGATGAAACAGTCTTTGATGATCAACATGGGGCACAGCCTGATAAGGAAAACAATAATCTACTTGTTGACCTTCAAAGAACTCAGTCTGGTGACATTCTTGCACTGCCTGACAAAGAAAGCATTGAGACTCAAGTTGATGGGATGCATCAGACTCATTCTGAAGACATGATAAACTCTCAGCCAAACAAAGAAAGCATTGAGACTCAGGTTGATGGGATGCATCGGACTCATTCTGCATATATTATATTCTCGCAGCCCAACAAAGAAAGGATTGAGACTCAAGTTGGTGGACAGCAGTGGACTCATTCTGAAGACATGATAAACTCTCAGCCAAACAAAGAAAGCATTGAGACTCAAGTAACTGGCCTGCATGGGACTCATTCTGAAGACATGATAAACTCTACGCCTAACAAAGAAAGCATTGAAACTCAAGTTGATGGCCAGCAGAGGACTCATTCTGAAGACATGATAAACTCTCAGCCAAACAAAGAAAGCATTGAGACTCAAGTAACTGGCCACCAGAGGACTCATTCTGAAGACATGATAAAATCTCAGCCCTACATCGAAATGATTGAGACTCGAGTTGATGGACTGAATAGGACTCATTCTGATGACATGATAAACTCTAAGCCTAACAAAGAAAGGATTGAGACTCAAGTTGGTGGCCAGCAGTGGACTCATGCTGAAGACATGATATACTCACAGCCAAACAAAGAAAGCATTGAGACTCAAGTAACTGGCCTTCATGGGACTCATTCTGAAGAGATGATAAACTCTACGCCTAACAAAGAAAGCATTGAAACTCAAGTTGATGGCCAACAGAGGACTCATTCTGAAGACATGATAAACTCTCAGCCAAACAAAGAAAGCATTGAGACTCAGGTTGATGGGATGCATCGGACTCATTCTGCATATATTATATTCTCGCAGCCCAACAAAGAAAGGATTGAGACTCAAGTTGGTGGACAGCAGTGGACTCATTCTGAAGACATGATAAACTCTCAGCCAAACAAAGAAAGCATTGAGACTCAAGTAACTGGCCTGCATGGGACTCATTCTGAAGACATGATAAACTCTACGCCTAACAAAGAAAGCATTGAAACTCAAGTTGATGGCCAGCAGAGGACTCATTCTGAAGACATGATAAACTCTCAGCCAAACAAAGAAAGCATTGAGACTCAAGTAACTGGCCACCAGAGGACTCATTCTGAAGACATGATAAAATCTCAGCCCTACATCGAAATGATTGAGACTCGAGTTGATGGACTGAATAGGACTCATTCTGATGACATGATAAACTCTCAGCCTAACAAAGAAAGGATTGAGACTCAAGTTGGTGGCCAGCAGTGGACTCATGCTGAAGACATGATATACTCACAGCCAAACAAAGAAAGCATTGAGACTCAAGTAACTGGCCTTCATGGGACTCATTCTGAAGAGATGATAAACTCTACGCCTAACAAAGAAAGCATTGAAACTCAAGTTGATGGCCAACAGAGGACTCATTCTGAAGACATGATAAACTCTCAGCCAAACAAAGAAAGCATTGAGACTCAGGTTGATGGGATGCATCGGACTCATTCTGCATATATTATATTCTAAGCCCAACAAAGAAAGGATTGAGACTCAAGTTGGTGGACAGCAGTGGACTCATTCTGAAGACATGATAAACTCTCAGCCAAACAAAGAAAGCATTGAGACTCAAGTAACTTGCCTGCATGGGACTCATTCTGAAGACATGATAAACTCTACGCCTAACAAAGAAAGCATTGAAACTCAAGTTGATGGCCAGCAGAGGACTCATTCTGAAGACATGATAAACTCTCAGCCAAACAAAGAAAGCATTGAGACTCAGGTTGATGGGATGCATCGGACTCATTCTGCATATATTATATTCTCGCAGCCCAAGAAAGAAAGGATTGAGACTCAAGTTGGTGGCCAGCAGTGGACTCATTCTGAAGACATGATTTACTCACAGCACATCAAAGAAAGCATTGAGACTCAAGTAACTTGCCTGAATGGGACTCATTCTGAAGACATGATAAACTCTCAGCCCTACATCGAAAGGATTGAGACTCAAGTTGATGGACTGAATAGGACTCATTCTGATGACATGATAAACTCTAAGCCTAACAAAGAAAGGATTGAGACTCAAGTTGGTGGCCAGCAGTGGACTCATGCTGAAGACATGATATACTCACAGCCAAACAAAGAAAGCATTGAGACTCAAGTAACTGGCCTTCATGGGACTCATTCTGAAGACATGATAAACTCTACGCCTAACAAAGAAAGCATTGAAACTCAAGTTGATGGCCAACAGAGGACTCATTCTGAAGACATGATAAACTCTCAGCCAAACAAAGAAAGCATTGAGACTCAGGTTGATGGGATGCATCGGACTCATTCTGCATATATTATATTCTCGCAGCCCAACAAAGAAAGGATTGAGACTCAAGTTGGTGGACAGCAGTGGACTCATTCTGAAGACATGATATACTCACAGCACATCAAAGAAAGCATTGAGACTCAAGTAACTGGCCTGCATGGGACTCATTCTGAAGACATGATAAACTCTACGCCTAACAAAGAAAGCATTGAAACTCAAGTTGATGGCCAGCAGAGGACTCATTCTGAAGACATGATAAACTCTCAGCCCTACATCGAAAGGATTGTGACTCGAGTTGATGGACTGAATAGGACTCATTCTGATGACATGATAAACTCTACGCCTAACAAAGAAAGCATTGAAACTCAAGTTGATGGCCAGCAGAGGACTCATTCTGAAGACATGATAAACTCTCAGCCAAACAAAGAAAGCATTGAGACTCAGGTTGATGGGATGCATCAGACTCATTCTGCATATATTATATTCTCGCAGCCCAACAACGAAAGGATTGAGACTCAAGTTGATGGAAAGCAGTGGATTCATTCTGAAGACATGATAAACTCTCAGCCAAACAAAGAAAGCATTGAGACTCAAGTAACTGGCCTGCATGGGACTCATTCTGAAGACATGATAAACTCTACGCCTAACAAAGAAAGCATTGAAACTCAAGTTGATGAGACTCAAGTTGGTGGCCAGCAGTGGACTCATTCTGAAGATATGATGTACTCTCAGCCCGACAAAGAAAGTATTGAGACTCAAGTTGATGGCCTGCATCAAACTTGTTCTGAAGACATGATAAACTCTCAGCCGAACAATGAAAGCATTGAGACTCGAGTTGATGGACTGCATGGGACTCATTCTGAAGATATGATTTTCTCACAACCCATCAAAGAAAGCATGGAGACTGAAGTTGATGGTCAGCAGCTGACTCGGTCTGAAGACATGATTTACTCGCATCACAACAAAGAAAGCATCAGGACTCAAGTTGGTGGAGTGAATGGGACTCATTCTGAAGACATGATAAACTTTCAGCACAACCAAGAAAACACTGAGGCTCTACTACATGATTTTCATGGGACACGGCTTTATGACATGATTTACTCGCAGCTTGATAAAGGTTGCACTGAGGCGCAACTTGATAGTTTTCTTGGGACTCAGCTTGACCTGATTTACTCGCAGAAAGACCAAGAATGCATTGAGACTCAAGTTAATGGCCTTCGTGAGACTCATTTTGAAGACATGATAAACTCTACGCCTAACAAAGAAAGCATTGAAACTCAAGTTGATGGCCAGCAGAGGACTCATTTTGAAGACATGATGTACTTGCAGCCCGACAAAGAAAGAATTGATACTCGAGTTGATTGCCTGCATAAGACTCATTCTGAAAACATGATTTACTCACAACCTGTCAGTGATTCTGAGGACATAGATCAATATGAAAAAGAAAATGTGAGGAAAAGGAAAAGCCTCCTTGGAAAAAGAAGTAAATTTCAGTCAGAGTTGGTTGCTGAAAACAGTGAGAAGCAAGAGTATGATACAAGCATGGAAAATCACTCTTCTACAGAATCGCTTAAGAGAAAAAAGTACCCTAGTGGAAAGAAGCCTCTTGAAGATCAGACTCCAAAATTGAAATCAAAGCTCAATAAAAAGATTGACACAATACAGCAAGAAGACTTTAATAAATCAGATAGATATGTATTGGAATGTGAAAAAATTGACAAGGATGGTGAATCTGGCGAAGAAATAGATGATTCCGAGTTTCTCCAAAGAGATCAGAATATAAAAGGAATTTACATTAAAAAATACAGATTAAAAAAAGAAAGGGAGTTTAGAGGACAGAGTAAAGATACCAGAATATACGATAACACACATGCATGCTTTTTTTGTGGGAAAGTTGTACTCCACATTAAGGAGCACTTGAAAACCCATAAAAATGCTGAAGAGGTGAAGGAGATAATGGCTATGGATCATCCCGATTTTACCTCACTAAGAAAAAGGGGAGACGACAAGCATAACCGTCAGGTTTTAGAAAAGGGTGAAGGGGAAATCATTTTGGCGAGAAGACCAACAACAGAATTTGACATAACTAATTTTGGTCCTTGTCCAGAGTGCAGAGAATGGGTTCTTTTAAAAAGTATCAAATATCACTTTAGAGAATGCACAAAGAAACTTGAAATGACTAGAAGGAAAAAAAAAGATCTCGTGTTGCAGTCCCAGATATTGGCAGGGCACATAAAAGGGAGACAGTCACCACAGATGATGAAAGAGGTTTTTCCAATTATGTCGTCAGATAATATTACGACAATTGCCCAGAATGATAAGTTGATACTGGCTCTGGGAGAAAGCTGGATTAAAAGAAACATTGGAAATGTTGAGAAAAGGAAGTATTACGCCAGTTCTAGAATGCGTTTATGTGCAAGATTTTTAATCCAACTACAACAACTACAATCCATTCAGAAATCAGGCTCTTGTGCTGATTCCACCACATATGATGTTGATGAGATTGATACAGAGATGGATGTGGACAAAGATTCAAAGCAGGATAGTCTTTGGGATTTTCTAAGGCCACAGAACTTCGATAATTTAGTGCTTGCGGCTCTAAAATGTTCATTCCCAAACGCTGATGATGACGATGATCTACTTTCCCCTAGCAATGCCATCAAGTTGAAATATGATTTATATCGACTCGTAAACAGCAAATGGGCTCTTATTGTGAAAACCAGCGGCAGTGAAAATTCTAAAGAAGCTAAAGAATGCAAAACACTTGCAAGCCTCATGGATATTGAATGGAAGGAAAGGGTTACTACTATTGCAAGAGCAGTGCTGAGTCGCAGAAAGTTTGACGAGAAAAAAGAGCTGCCATCTCCTGAAGATATAGAAAAAATGACAAAGCACCTTTCCAAAGAACTCATGGAAACATCTCTAACATCAGAAAATTTCACTCGTCTGGTAACCATTGTGCAGACAAGGTTGCTCCTTTATAATAAAAGAAGAACAGGGGAACTTGAAGCCATCAAGTAAGTTAGCAATTTTTTTTTAATATTTTGACTTATTTATGAAGAGATAAAACCTGCTTACGCAGAGGGTTAATTAAAGAGAATCCCATTGCAATACTGGAAATTCATCGTAAATTTAAAACATAAAATAAGTTTTATTAAGTTTAAATTTAAAATATAAATATCGTTGCATCTTGTGTTACAATTTGTTGGAAGTCGTTTGTCATCAATCAGTACCATCATTTTTTCTGATGATGCTTGTGTTGCATAGGTATTCTGTTTTGTTTTGTTTTTTTTTTTAACTTGCACTCCTAATTTTGCCAATGGCCGACCCAAGTTTTACATAGGAATATATAGGAAAAATCTTTGAAAATCTTCTTCTCCAAAAGAAACTCATGTGGAATCATCCTCAGGTAGTGTGGCCGACCCAAGATTCAAGTTTGTTCAAATCATAGGGTGGGGCCAAAATGGCCGACCAGTGGGAATTCAAATACGACTATTGTTTAAATTGACAACAGTATTTATTAGTAAACAGGGCATTCAACTTCCTTAATGATTTGTTTAGCACAAAATGTCACAATTTTTTTTTTTCATGAAGAATTAAAAGGAATTTAAAGTTGTTGTTTCTAATCAGTTCTGATAAATTGTAGAGTGCAGAGCTATGCTTCAAGAAGCTGTGGGCTTGATGAACTTGATGAATCACTAGCTAAGGACCTTACAGATGTTGAAAAGCATTTAATGGGAACACAGGATCTGATGAGAGTGAGAGGGAAGGTATGCACTCAAAGAAACATGATTTTTCTTTGCCAAAGAAACATGCATAATATATTTGAAAGGAAATTTTATAATTACAAGATTACTTTGAAATACTTAAATTGCCAGTTTTTTCTACTTCACCAACTAAATGAAATTGATTTTGAATGCCATATTTAGCTCACCTGAGCCGAAGGCTCAAGTGAACTTTTCTGATGGAAATTTGTCCGATGTCTGTCGTCGTAGTTTTCTGATGGAAATTTGTCCGTTGTCTGTCATCGTAGTTGTAGTAGTTGTCGTTGTTGTCATAAACTTTTCGCATTTTCATCTTCTTCTCAAGAACCGCTGGGCCAATTTCAACCAAACTTGCTCAGGGTATTTTCTAGGTCTTAAAAACAAGGGCCTGGGCCTTTCCAATTGGGAAAAATAGCGACATTTGGTTGACATTGGGAAAAGTATCATATTTAATATTTTTCTATATAAATTCAAATAAGAGGGGTTTTGTTTTATTTGAAATGTATTTCTTTGACTTATTTTGCATTCAGTCAATCAGTTTTGGGAGAATGCCTTTTAGATTTTTATTTAGAACAATACTCTTGACAAAAATGTTACTGCGTTTGAACATTTTTTAATCCGTTTGTTTGTTTCGATTCTCTTTTGGGAATTTTCTACAATGAAATTGGGAAAAACACATACTTTTTTCCATTGGGAATGGGGCCTTATACAGGCCCCCTACGACCCCTAAAAAAACCCTGTTGCTACAAAGTATCCTTGGGTAAAGGGGATTCAAGTTTGTTCAAATGAAGGGTCACACCCTTTCCCAAGGGGAGATAATTATGAATTAGAGAAAAATTAATTGCATTTTTGAAAAATCTTCTTCTCAAGAACCACTGGGCCAGGAAAGATGAAACTCATGTGGAATCATCCTCAGGCAGTGTTGATTCAAGTTTGTTCAAATTATGACCCCCGGCTGTAGGGTGGGGCCAAAATGGCCGATCAAAGTTTTACATAGGATTATATAGGAAAAATCTTCTTCTCAAGAACCATTGAGACAGGAAAGATGAGACTCAAGTGGAATCAGCCCCAGGTAGTGTAGATTCAAGTATATTCAAATTATGACCCCCGGGGGTAGGGTGGGGCCAAATGGCCAATTAAAATTTTTACATAGGCATATATATGGAAACCTTTTAAAATCTTCTTTTCAAGTACTTCAAGGCCATGCTTAGTGATGTTTATAGGGAATCATCCTAAGGTAGTGTAGATTCTAGTTTGTTCAAAGTAGTTTCAAATTATGACCCCCTGGGGGGTTTAAATTCAAGCCTCTCTCTGTATTATCATGCTTATAAAGAGTGTTTTGGCGGCATTTATAATGACTGTGTAATGGGTTAGGTACGTAGTAGTAAGTAAACATGACAAACAGCAGGCAAAGTCCTGTCTCAACAGCTGTGAAGCTTGTTTTTTCATTTGATAAAATTTTATTTCTGTAATCAGATTACTTGTGTTTTTCTGTACAACCATAAGGGTACATGTATTCAATGAAAATATTTCATTCAACCTAGCAAATTTTTATAGTCACAGTAATAAGTAATCTATGATATGATAAAGACATAATACATATCCTTATTTAAATTATCAAGTTTTATTCGCAAAATGTATTTTTTTTATGGCGAGTGAAATATTTGATTATGGGGACCAGAAATTCTGAAATGGCGACCAAAAAAATTTTTAGGTCGCCATTTTGCGACCTGAGAGCAAGTGTGACTTGGATCAGTTCTGATCTGATATGCGCTTCTGATATGTGCTTTTCCTAGCCAATTGCTCAGGTGAGCGATGTGGCACCTGGGCCTCTTGTTGTATGTAGTTATGCTTAGAAATAGTATAACATGTAGAAGTAACACAAAAGTGCTGTCACAATAAGGGTAAAAATATAACAATTTAGGTCAGCAAAAAATTTGAATCCTGTATATATTATATATATACAGTGTATATATGTATCTATATATTTTTATTATTATTATTATTTTTTTTTATAGATGTTTTTTTTCAGTTCGTGAATGTTACTAAAAGCTTGTGTATTTGTTTAAAGCTAAGTGGTTTTTCTTTTCATCAGAGAGGCAGACCTGTACCAGTGTTAATTCCTCCAGATTGTAGAAAAGCACTGGCTTTCCTAGCCAACACGGCACAGAGAAAAAAAGCAAAAATAGCTGAGGGAAACCTGTACTTGTTCCCCAATTCTGGTAGGTATTGACAATTTTATTTTTACAAATCTGACTTGCAATTCAATGAATGCATAAAAAAGGAGACAAAAAAAACCCCAAAAAAGCAAATATAATCTCTGCACTACTGAGTTTGATTAGGAAAAATAAAAAGCTTAGGCATATATGTGGTGATCTATGCTATTTATGGAAGAAATCAAAATAAATAGAAATTAATGAAAGTCTTGTTAAAAAGAATCATTTATTGTCCATTTATTTGAGAGACGGCTGAATAATTTGTAGTATTGTAATTTGTTTTTCAATACCACAATAAAAAGCAATGTTTTTGGGGCTGCAATACCTAGCACTATTCAAGGATAGTATTTTGAATACAATTTTTTGCCCCCTTCTAAGAAGGGAGGGCATATTGCTTTGCTGCTGTTAGTCAGTCGGTCAGTCCATCAACAGTTTCCGTTTATTTTTTCGCAGAGGTTGTACATACTGAAATGAAATTTGGTATACAGATTTATCATAAGAATATCTTGGTCAAGTTTTGTTTTAGGTACAACCAAGCAATTTTGACAGAGTTATGCCCCCTGAAGTTAAAACAATTCCAATTATTTGCAGTTTCAGTTCATTTTCTATGCAGAAATGAAATGAAATTTGATATACAGATTTATTTTGACAGAGTTATGCCCCTTGGACTCAGAAAAATTCCAATTTTATTTTTTTTTTGGGGGGGGGGGGGGGCTAAGTGTTTCACAAACATCTTTTGTTAAGAATTATTTCAAAAATCCACTTTTTAAGTTACATGTAGGTAAACATCAGAACATGGTAAAATTATGCATTTGGTCAAGATTTATAATGCACAAGGTTTGTAGAGGTGAGCTAAATTGTTCGTAACGATATAGTGTATCATTTATTATATACATCTTTTTCAGTGAATGGTTATGTTAGGGCATATGACTCTCTGAAAACAATGTGCAATGAAGTATGCTTGTTGGCTCCTCATAGAATAACTTCAGTCTCCATGCGAAAGTATATGGCCACTCTCACACAGGTATTTTATTGTTACTTTTTATTGAAGTGTACATGTGAATCTGTAAATGACTTCTTTGCTCTGTTATGCGGCATTTAACATTAATTTATGCAATAATTGCCAGGAGACACTTGTGAACTTTAATTGCACAAGTATGATTTACAGATGCTGAATCTAGACAAATTCCAAATGGACTGGGTCTGTAATCATCTAGGTCACACCAAGAGTGTACACAAAGAGCATTACAGACAAATGAGTGGTTTAGTGGAAAGAACCCAAATAAGCAAACTGCTGCTTATTCAGGACATGAACTTGACCTCAAAGTTTAGAGGGAAGAAGCTAGAGGACATGGATATTAAAGGTACCAGCATTAAATTACTGATAGACAGTATGCAATTCAATGTTACTGACAATAATATTGTACATTTTTATTGTTTGTTCACCTATTTTATTAGGTCACCTGAGCTTTTACCTGAGCCAAAGGCTTAAATGAGTTTTTCTGATCGAAGGGTATCCATCTGTTAAGTGTTGTGTAAATTTTTCACATTTTTAGCTCACCTCAACAAAGTTGAGATGAGCTTAAGCTATAGCCCCTGCATTGGCGTCGGTATCGACGGTAGTGTTGACGTCTTGGTAAAAGTTGTAGGAGCAAGTCCATTCTAAAGAAACTATAAGCTGTACCTGGACCAAACTTGCATGGATGATGCATCTAGGGATGGACACTACCAGACTTGCTTTAGATGTTGGATGTGACCTACATTTTCCAAATGAGTGACCAGGTTAAAGTTTTTTGAGCAGTTCCATTCTGAAGTAACTATTAGCTGATTTAGCTCTACTTTGACCAAACTTGAATGGATGATGCATCAATGGATGGACACTTCCAGTCTTGCTTCAGATGTTGGAACTGAGCGACATTTACTTGATTAGTGAGCAAGTTAAAGTTGTTGAAGCAGTTCCATTTCCAATCAAATATAAGCCCTACTTAAACCTAACTTGCATGGATATTGATCTTTGGATGCATACTATTTAGAAAAGAATATGATGTGAGATTAACCTTACTTAGGCCAAAAAAAATAATAGTCTTGTTTCCTGCTACCAAAGAATATGATGTGAGATTTACCTTACTTAGGCCAAAAAAAATAATAGTCTTGTTTCCTGCTACCAGCCAGAAAAAAATAGGGTAGGTAGGTAGGAAAATAATTTTATTTTTTAATTTTATTTTATTTTTTTCCAACGTTATTTTTTTTTGGATATGAATTACTACAAAACCAAACTGAACATGTCATAGCTTAGATAGCTAAGGTCAATATCATCTTTCTAAATGAAATTCCATGTCTTTGGATGCACAACTCAAGTGGAATTTTATGAAAGTCCATATTTTTAAACATATACTTCATGAAATACAACTTGAGAATATATAACTTTTTTCACTTTTGAAACATGAAATTCCTAAAATTTTGAATTTTTTCACCAAAAGCTAAAAAAAACTTTAGGGTCGGGTGCAAAAAAATAGGGTAGGTCAGGTAGCAGGAAACAAGACTATTTTTTTTTTTTTGGCCTTATAGACAACCTTTGTCAAGGTGATCTTTGATTACCTATGTTTTAACTTCTTAAAAGATTTAAACATTGAGAATAACTGAAAATTTATGCACATTTACCGTATATACTCGCCTGTTTTTTATGAGGTAAAAAAAACCCTCCCTCTCGCATTTATTTTGGAGAAAACTGGCCTGAGAACCAATTTATTCATTTTTAGGTCACCTGAGTAAACTCAGGTGACCTATTGCTATCCATTTTCATCTGTCGTCATTCGTCTTACATCATTCGTAAACTTTTGAACATTTTCAGCTTCTTCTCTGCAACCACTAAACCAATTTCAACCAAATTTGGCACAAAGCATCTATGTGTGAAAGGGAACAAAAATTTTGAATTTTTTGATCCCTGGGGCCTAGGGGTGGGTCCAAAACCACTTAAATTAATGCAGTCTTTAAAAATCTTCTTTACTCCTGGACATCAAGCAGTCAAACTATTTGCATGATTGTAATCAGCATCGAGTCCTCTACCAAAATTGTGAAATTCATGGCCCCAGGGTCAGGGGTTCTAGTGCTAGGGCAGGGCTAAATAAGAAAATAGTGAAAATGCATTATTTCTTTGAAAATCTTCTTCTCTGCTCCTGGGTATTAAATAAACTAAGTAGATAGTTATGATGAGCAAGAGTGCCTCTACCAAAATTGTGAATTTTATGACCCCAGGACCAGGGTTCTGGTGTTAGGGCAGGGCTCTATTGATTATATACAGTGAAAATACATGATTTCTTTGAAAATCTTCTTCTCTGCCCCTGGGTATTAAATAAACTATTCAAGTGCATAGTTATGATGAGCATGAGTGCCTCTATCAAAATTGTGAATTTTATGGCCCCAGGGTCAAGGGTTCTGGTGTTGGGGTGGGTCTATAGATTATATAGTAAAAATACATGAATTCTTTGAAAATCTTCTTCTCTACTCCTAGATATTAAATAAACTATTTAAGTGCATAGTTAAGATGATCAAGAGTGCTTTTACCAAAATTGTGAATTTTATGGTCCCAGGGTCAGGGGTTCTGGTTTTAGGGCGGGGCTCTATAGATTATATAGTAAAACTACATGAATTCTTTGAAAATCTTCTTCTCTGCTCCTAGGTATTAAATGAACTATCTAAGTGCATAATTATGATGAGCAAGAGTGCTTTTACCAAATTTGTGAATTTTATGGCCCCAGGGTCAGGGGTTCTGTTGTTAGGGCGGGGCTCTATAGATTATATAGTAAAAATACATTAAATCTTTGAAAATGTTCTTCTCTGTCTCTGGTTATGAAGCAGATGAACTATATAGTTATGATGAGCAAGGGCCCTAATCTTGCAGAATTCTGAATTTCAAGGCCCCAGGGGTAGGGGTGGGGCTCTACTTATATGCTGAAAATGAATTAATGTTTGAAGTCTGCTCCTTTGTATTTATAAAACATTTATTTATTTTTTGATAGGCAATTTTTTGGGTGCCTTTTTAAAATTTGTGCAATGTGTGGACCTAGGGTCAGGGGTTTATTTAGCAGTGTTAGGGGCACTACTGATTATTGCTGAATATTACTGATTAGTTGGAATGCATTTTTGTTCCCCTACCTTGCATATGGGTATTCAGTACTCCTGCGAGGTGATCATGAATAATTCATGAATTTTTCATGAATTTTATTTATGAAATGTTCATGAAACATTCATGAAGATCCTATGAACTTATTATTTTAAAATCAATAAACCAAGCTAAGCAATTGCTAAGTGTATTGTTATGATGATCAATGGTGCCTCTTTCAAAATTGTGAATGCCATATAGCATCTGGCTTAAAACATGAATCAAATTCAATAACTGGAAAGTTGTTGCAGAATGCTCAGGTGACCTATAAGGCCCTAGGCCTCTTGTTTAGGACTTGTCCAAGCTATGTAAAGAAGACATATCTTTATTGCAGACATTGTCTTCCAAGATGATGCAGATGATGAGGAAGAAGCAGGCTTTCAAGAAAATCTGTAAGACTTAAAGCTCATTTAAAATGGTTGCTTGTATATATAAAGTTAAACTCTGGCATTTTTAACACTGGTATGTTGAGTATCACAGATATGCTGAAGAAAATTGATTGATTGTATATCGTTTAACGTCCCTCTTGAGAATTTTTCACTCATATGGAGACGTCACCGTATGCCGGTTTAGACCTATACTCGGCACTCAGGGCCATTGAGCAGTGAGGGTTCTTTATTGTGCCAGCGCCTACCGTGACACGGGACCTACGTTTTTAAGGTCATATCCGAAAGACCTGTGACTTTCACCTCTGATGCCGAGCGCTTGGCGAAGGAACAGTCACTACCTATTTTTACGTCTTAGGTTTGAAGCGGCGCCGTGAAAGAGAATTGAACCCGGGCCTCCTGGTCACGAAGCGAACGCTCTACCACTAGGCTACCGTGAATGGTGAAGTAAATTGATGATTATTTCTTATGCATGAATTTCATCTTCCATTTATTGAACCCTGAGATATCTCTCAGTTCTTTGGCCCTCCCCAAAGTGCAAGATGTCAAAAGTTGAATGATTTCAAATTCTTAATGCAAGGACCAACCTAGGGGGTGACTGAGGCGAATTGGTCGGTTTTGAGCTCCAAAATTTGCCGTTAATTATCACGAAAGAGAAGTTTAAGTTGCCTTAAATTTTCAACCCCTTTATTGGAAATCATAAAAAAAATTATTACGAAAATGTGGTTATATTGTCACTATTTTATAAATCTCGATTTATTACTGCTGAAATAAGTGAAACAGCAGGGCACTTGCACCTGTTTCACTGCTAATGACCCCTGCATTGAATACTCTGTCGGAACCCCTCTAGAATTTACACTTCTTTGTATGAAAAAGTCCATTGTTACAAGTTATGCACAAGACGCCAAACAGCTGGGCAGCTATCGATGTCATGCCAAAGATGTTGATGATTTTAGATCTTTTTTTTTGTCAAATGATTAATCTGTGAATACAGACATATTTTTACCGTTAAATTGTAGTTATTAACTGTCTAAGAGATTACACATGATGATAAACATGTCATTCAATCGGCATGCAGTAGTGCATCAAGACTATAATTTTTTTTTTAAAGAAGTTAATATTGAAAACGAACTTTAAAGAGAAAAAAATAATATAAAATAAGAAAAGTGTGTGAATCATTAACCTTTAACAGTTAAATGTGCATACTATGCAAAAATAAAAAATACTTTGATTAACCTTTTAAGAAACTTAAAGATTGTCATTGTATTGTATTTTTTTCTGAACAGAATCACCTTTTCGTGTGTCATCAATACTTCCAGTCGCTACCGGAAGTGAATTTAAAAAGTTAAATTTTTGAACTTTTTTGTTTTTCAATATTTTTCTTTTATATTTGTAGGGTTTATAGAGACTCTTTTCAAAGTGATAAATATATGATTTGTTTTCAAATTGATAAATCGGAAACTTTAGTTCTTCTTCCCCAGAATTTTGTTTTATAATACGCGATTTCTCAGTAACTATTCAGTGGTTTTCAATGAAATTTTCAGGAATAATGCGCATCTATGAGAACTTGATACATCTGGGAGGAAATGTTAAAATGCCCTTCCGGTGCCAAGTTATGGACAATTTCCAGATTTTAAAATGATTTTTTGTCAGCGAACGATCTAAAGAACGGCTAATAATATGAACTGGAAACTTGTTGGAGATGATAGTACATGACTTATAGGTGAACAGAACCACCCCTTTGTGTGCATCTAATTCCGGTCGCTACCAGAAGTGAATTTAAAAAGTCAAATTTTTAAACTTTTTTGTTTTTGAGTATTTTTTGATAATGTTAGGATGGTTATTCGGACGGAAGACCTCTAGTTGCGAGTCTAGTTGCTCGCAACGAGTTTCTAGTTAATTATCATTCTCAAGGACAGCAAAGCCATGAATAGTCATATTAATATAGAAGAAGCATAGAAGCATCCTCAAATAGTGTAAGGTCAAGATTTTGTTTAAATCAGGACCCTAGGTGGTAGGATGAGGCAACATTATGGGGTCAGAGTTTAGTATACTGTGGTATATTACAAAATGTACTGTAGATTCAAGGTTGTTCAAATCATTGATCTAAGATTGGGACTACAATGGTGGATCAAAGTTTCACATGGGAATATATAGGGAATATCTTTTTAAAATCTTCTTCTCAAGAACAGGAAAGGTCTGATTAGTCTCATTTTCTAAATTTTATAGTTATTCATCAGTTACAGCCATTAACTGTAGGCAATCATAATTCAGCATATGTTCATTTCCTTGCATTCACTATTTTTAATACAATGTACCATATTACTTACCTACATTGGTTTATGGACTTTTTGATTTGAACAGGGCTCTTCCAAGTGATACAGTGGATGCATCAGAAAATTCTTATTTAGAGGAGGCAAGATTGGAAGAAGAAGAGGAGGAGGAAGAGGAGGAGGAGGAAGTAGTTAAGACCAGGAAAAAAGTTAAGAAAACACGGCAACGGTGGACTGAGGAGGAAGTGAAAGAAATCGAAGAATATTTCAAAGATTTCCTGAAATCGGGTACCACCCCCAGATCAACGTTCATAGATCGAATGAAGCAGAAAAGCAAGGTCAACAAGGGGGTGATACACTTAAGAGAGAATCATTTAATTATAAAGAAAATCTCAAATATGAATCATTCCAAAAAATAAGTTAATATCGTTGGCCCTTCCCCCCACTTTTTTTTAGCTCACCTCGACGAATGAGATGAGTGACAAGGTTAAAGTTATTGGAGGAGGTTAAAGTTTTAGGAGCAGGTCCATTCCCAAGGAATTATAAGCTCTACCCAGACCAAACTTGCATGGATGATGCATCTAGGGATGTACACTACAAGACTTGCTTCGGATGCTGGATCTGACCTACATTTTCCAGATGAGTGACCATGTTAAAGTTTTTTGGGCAGGTTAAAGTTTTAGGAGCAAGTCCATTCCCAAGTAACTAAAAGCCCTACCTGAACCAAACTTGCATGGATGATGCATCGAGGGATGTACACTACAAGACTTGCTTCGGATGCTGGATCTGACCTACATTTTCCAGATGAGTGACAAGGTTAAAGTTATTGGAGGAGGTTAAAGTTTTAGGAGCAGGTCCATTCCCAAGGAATTATAAGCCCTACCCAGACCAAACTTGCATGGATGATGCATCTAGGGATGTACACTACAAGACTTGCTTCGGATGCTGGATCTGACCTACATTTTCCAGATGAGTGACCATGTTAAAGTTTTTTGGGCAGGTTAAAGTTTTAGGAGCAGGTCCATTCTCAAAGAATTATAAACCCTACCCAGACCAAATTTGCATGGATGATGCATCTAAGGATGTACACTACCAGACTTGCTTCGGATGCTGGATCTGACCTACATTTTCCAGATGAGTGACCAGGTTAAAGTTTTTGGAGCAGGTCCATTCCCAAGGAACTATAAGCCCTACTCAAACCAAACTTGCATGGATGATGCATCTAGGGATGTACACTACCAAACTTGCTTCGGATGCTGGATCTGACCTACATTTTCCAGATGAGTGACCAGGTTAAAGTTTTTGGTCCATTCCACAGGAACTATAAGCCCTATTTGGACCAAACTTGCATGGATGATGCATCTAGGGATGTACATTACCAGACTTGCTTCGGATGCTGGATCTAACCTACATTTTCATTCCCAAGTAACTATAAGCCCTTTTTGGACCAAACTTGCATGGATGATGCATCTAGGGATGGACATTACCAGACTAGCTTCGGATGCTGGATCTGACCTACATTTTCATTCCCAAGTATCTATAAGCCCTAGCTAAACTAAACTTGCATGGGTGATGTATCTAGGGATGGACACTACCAGACTTGCTTCGGATACTGGATCTGACCTACATTTTCATTCCCAAGTAAATTTAAGCCCTAGCTTAACCAAACTTGAATGGATGATGCATCTAAGGATTGACACTATCAGACTTGCTTTGGATGCTGGATCTGACCTATATTTTCCATACAAGAGACTTGGTTAAAGTTTTGGGAACAGATCAATCCAAATGAACTTGAAGACTTTGATATATGCAGTATTAGCTGCATATCTGTAGCTCTCTGCTTGAAAAAATTCGGACAGATAAAGCAGAGAGCTACAGATCCAAGCGTTGTAAAAACCTTCGATTTACGCCGAAGATTTTTCGTCGCTCACTTCGTGCATTTTGCTAGTATTTTATACATTCCCCAGCTTAAAAAAATATATCTAATAAGTAATCATGCATTTAACTTCAATTCCTGACAACTTACTTGCATTTCACATGTGTTTCAATGCTAACATATTGCTTTGTGGTTACGGACTTCGAAATGGAACCCTTTTAAACCGATATTATAAAACTATATACAGGAGTGTTTCGGACATCTCTAAGGTAAATAAAGTATCAACAAAAAATAGTTAAATATATGATTAATTATATGTTACCATTCTAAGAGCAAGAGAAAGTTTAAACTACACGAAATAAATGCATACAGTAGCGACGAAAAATCGTCGGCGTAAATCGAAGGTTTTTACAACGCTTGGATCTGTAGCTCTCTGCTTTATCTGTCCGAATTTTCTCAAGCAGAGAGCTGCAGCTAATGCAGTATTAACAGTTATGAATATTTGTTTACACTATACATATACATATTTTTCACGCTACAGGCTTAGAAATGTGTATATGCCATGTAAGGGGTTAAACTCAACTTGCAAGAATATTGTTGTTGGGATGAATACTAAATATTAATAAAAATATGATGTGAGATTTGCATTATTTAAACTGATGACATTCGTCGAGGTGAGCTTGGTAATCTTTGATTACCTATGTTTTCATTTGTGGAATAACTGTAAGGTATACATTTATGGTAATGAATGCTTGAGGCAAAGATTTCTTATTAATGATTGATATGTACATTGCAAACTGTTAACAAAGATTTGCAAGATTTGGTATTGGACTATTTGCGCTAGAAGAGAATTTATAACAAGTGCACTTGTTAAACTGAAAGTTTGAATATGAAAATTGGATTCCAGTGTCAGTATTTTGTTTTTATATGTATCGGTCAACTTGTTGAATGTGTTAAGCAAATGTAAAGAACATCTGCTATCTATGAAGAAAGGCTTCCTTTTTTTTTTCCTCTTACACTTGTGACCAACTTGTCAATGAATCATATGTTATTGAAACTGATTTTTAAAGGAAATTGGTTATTTAAAAGCTTCAATCTCAACAGAGATTTGATTAAATGCAACAAATATATCACCACCTCTTAGTGATGGGCAATCAGAATTTTTAGGAATAATTTTTTTTTTAACTAATACTTTGATTTATTGATTATCAAAATTGTAATGGGGGGAGGCATTTTGTTTGGATAATTGATTAAATAAATTAATTGCTGCATCACTACCATCTCTTTATACAGTTAACATTTTCCTTGATTAATTTAATTTGGCATCATACCTAGGATAGCATAAAGTTTGGTATGTACTGTACACATTCTCTTGTACATATCATGGAATTGCATGCATATAAGACAAAAAGCAGCAAACACATTTTTTGATGATGCATATTTTTATGCCCCCGTAAACGAAGTTTCGGGGGTATATAGTTTTTGTCGTGTCTGTCTGTCTCTCTGTTTGTCCGTTTGTCTGCAAAAATTTTAACCTTGCCTTTAACTTTTGATTAAGTGGAGCTATGACTTTCATATTTCATATGTGTATTCCTTGTGATAAGACCTTTCTCTGGGTACCACCAACTTTGACCTTTTGACCTTGACCTTGGAGTTTGACCTACTTTTACATGAAAATTTCAAAATTTTACTTTGGACATATCTTTTGAACAGTAGACACCAGGATATTTATACTTCACATATGTAATGTTTGTTAAAAGACCTTTCACTGGACACCAACAACCTTGACCCTTTGACCTGGACCTTGTAGATTTCCATATTTGTGAAAAAAACTTTAACCTTGGCATTAACTTTCAAACGGTAAGGGATAGGGCTTTCATACTTCATATATGTAATCCTTGTGAGAAGATCTTTCATTGGATATGAAGATCCTTGACCTTTTGACCTTGACCTTTGAGATTGACCTACTTAAAAAAGGCAATTCTTGACCATAACTTTCAAAGACTAAAGGTTAGTGCTTTCATACTTTACATATTTGATCCACATGACGAACTTTCATTTGATAACAATAACTTTGACCCTGTGACCTTGACCTTGGAGTTTGACGTACTTTCTAAGAAAAATTTTAAAATTTTACTTTGGCAATATCTTTTGAACAGTTGTCACCAGGACATTTATACTTCACATATGTAATGTTTGTTAAAGACCTTTCACTGGACACCAACAACCTTGACCCTTTGACCATGACCTTGTAGATTTCCGTATTTGTGAAAAAACTTTAACCTTGGCCATAACTTTTGAACGGTAAGGGATAGGGCTTTCATACTTCATATATGTATCCCTTGTGAAAAGACCTTTCATTGGATATGAAGATCCTTGACCCTTTGACCTTGACCTTTGAGATTGACCTACTTAAAAAAGCAAACTTTGACCATAACTTTTAAAGACTCAGGGCTAGTTCTTTCATACTTCACATATTTGATCCTTATGACAAGACCTTTCATTTGATAACAATAACTTTGACCTTGACCTTTGAGTTTGACTTTCTTTTCAAGAAATTGAACGTTGACCATAACTTCTGAACGGTTAGGCTAGGACTTTCATGCTCTACATAAGTATTTTATGTGGCAAGACCTTTCATTTGATACTAATTACATTGACCTTGACCTTGGAGATTTTTGAACTCATTAAAAAACTTCAACATTAGCTTACTTTCAAATTTCACAAATGTTTTCCAGTGAGAATACCCTACTTTTTGTACGAATTAATTAAATTTTCATTTAAGAAAAGCTTAATCTTTGCTATGTTGCCATACGGGGGCATCAGTGTTTTACAAACACATCTTGTTTAAAAAAGAATTAGTAAGAAATGTAAAAATTTTGAGGTCTGCAAAATTAAAGAATTAACAGTGTAAGATACTTATATATATTGTGCAGTTATCTTTATATGGTTGTCTAATAGTGCTCTTTGATTATAGCTTCCATGTTATAATGCATTACTGTGGACAGAAAAAGCAATAAGGGTGGCAGTGTGATGAGTTGGCACTATATATGTACATGAATTTTGTGTATAATAAACACATACCAGGTTCATCAATAGATTTTTGTTACACATTTTGTTAAAATATTGTTTTTTTTTTAATACCTGGAATTGTACAGATGATGTACAGTGTACATGTACATTCCTTTAGAGTGTGAGGTCATCTTGGACTAATGAAGGAGTTTTGGTTGTTATTTTTTTTTTTATTATTTTATGTTGGTTTTTTTTTTACAATACAAAGTATTAAAAAGTTTTTGTTGTGGTTATTTTTTGAGGTTTATATGGAGATTCCTGAAAATTTAAGGAAAACCTACTCATAATGGTAGGGACTATAAAAAGTTGTGTGAAAATTGAAGACATATCCGACTAGAAGCTGTGTTTCTGCACTTGTAAGCTAAAAGAATTTCTGATTAAGGCTTGAGGACTCTTATTCAGCAAACCATTTTAATGGACATTCATATTTATGAATTTGTGCTTCCTAGAGTTGTTCAGATGTCAATTTCATACCTTCCAAAGCTATGATTGTCAATATATTCGGCAATAACTTATAATTAGTTCATCATATACATACACAACAGTTTTGGCAAATGTAGATACATGTAATGGACGTGACTGGGCATTTTTATAGGTTTCAACAATTTTTGGCCTATAGCATCTATGGCTGAAGGGGAACAAAAAAAATGAATATCATGGTCCCCCCAACCCCCGGGTCCTGAGGGGTGGGGCGAAAACCACTAAAATTAATGCAATCTTTAAAAATCTTTCATCCTGGATATCAAGCAGTCAAACTGTTGCATGATTGTATTGAGCATTGAGCCCTTTACCAAAATTATGAAATTCATGGCCGTTCTTTGAAAACTTCATAAGTCGAAGAACATAGCTCATTAGCGTAAGGGTTGTTGATAATCAGTGTTACCGTAGTTCTCTACACAAAGGAGGTAAAGCAGGAGAGGGAACCAGACTGTTTGTTTACATTCAGCTGTGGTACCAGATTAAAGCTGAACACTTCTAATAAATAGGCACTGTCAAACGGGTATATAAACCGTTCGCTTTCCTTACACCCGATTGCACACTTGAAACTGGGACATTGACACAGATTTGAAGTTAAAGGTACTTGGACACAGATTTGAAGTCAATATTTTTCAATAATTTTCTGAAATATTACAACTTATATATCTAAATAGCATTTCACATAAAAATTAATTATAAATCTTATTTGATATGAAAGATGTTAACATTTCAAATTCTTTGGCGTGTTTGATTGACACATTCCTGCACATTCGCAAATTTAATTTTACTCTTAATCCTTAAGAAAAAGTGGCAATCTTTTTGTGCATAAATAAAAAATATTAATTCTTTAATCCAGAAAACTCAGAGTAGGCATG